CATGCTTTTGGTCTGTGGGAGGAAACCGGAGTACCAAAACCCCATGCACAGAGAGATCATGCCATGTCCAACCAGAAGGGTCCCCGGCTGGGATTTGATGCAGCGACCTTCTCACTGAGAGACATCTCTACCAGCTGAGCCAGCGTGCTGCTTAAATGTAGTGAATATGAACATCATTTACAGTATGCTGAAATAGCTTCATTATGCTTAAGTTTCATTTGCACATTGCAATTTAAACTTGACAACTTTTCAAAGCCTAATATTTTGTGCCCTGTACCTTTTTTATTTATTTTTTTAGATGTGCAATTAATGAATGTAATTTGAATTTAGCGAAAACATATTTTAATCACAATGCATACATTTGCAGTAAGTCTTAACTGACTTACCACTATGAACTCATAAAAGCCATCTGGATAGTTTTTTTTCTGAAAATGATCATCTGACAGACATTTAGGTTTAATAATAATTTACATTGTATCTAATATAATAAACAGGAAGAACACTAACTTCATATGCACTGAAAACGTGAACTGACATGCACTCAAAAGTTACAAAAAAACAAAACAAGGAATCACAAATAAGATGTTGGTGGACTGCTGAGTCTTGACCTGAAGAGCCGTCTCTTGAATCGTGCCATGCGTCTGTGGAGAGGTTGTTTACTTTTCACATTTGTAGAGGTGTGAACACTCCTTGATGCACTGGACTGCACACATCACACTGCTCAGAACATGTTCAGGTGTTCTGTCCTAAGTTGAACCAGCTCCTGTCCGAGGCTTTTCTTTAGCTTGAAATGCACTGGGATATTGTGTTTGGAGAATATCCTTCTGACTTTTACAGATTCTTCAGCATCAAATGGGGTGAATATGCTTTGGCACTTGTAGTTTTATTTTTTTTCTTCCCTGCTCAGTTCAGTGGGGTGTTTTCAAGATTTGCAACCAGACTTGACAGATGCATCTTCTGGTTTATAGAGCTTTTTTGATGAACTTGTGTTTCTTATCCTTCTTTTCTGTTGTAGTAGTGACTGTTAACACGTACAGAAATACTGGACACTACATGGAACCCTAGAGGTTTCACCATGATAATAAGCAGGGAGTAGTGCAGCTGAAAGCCCCATATCCCTTGTGAGAAGGCTCTGATCCCAAAATACGACACGGCAGCTCCCATAAACTGGATCTGCTGGCTTCAGTTCTCAAAAACTAGAAAATGAGAAAACTTTTGGATTTGCATTTCCTCATAAGCATGGATGGGCTTATCTCATTGTCTTATCACGTTTATGATGTAAAGTTTGTGTTTTACTATGTGGTGAGAGGTAGCATGAAATACATTTTAGTATGAATGATTTATGCATTATCCTGTATGGAGTATTTAGGCCTGATAAATCTTTGTGTTTATGCTTTTTAATACATCCCTCTAACAAATTCCTGCCAATATTGTTTTTGCAGATACAATAGAACTGAAGAAATAAGTGAGCAGAGAATAAAACCAATGCTGTTACAAATTTCTTCTCTGTGAAATTGTTTTGTAAAAGATGAAAAAAAATAATAATAATCAGACAGTACAAAGAAAAAACAACAATAGTTTATTTAACATATTTTGTGTATGAACTACAAATTCTGGTCTCTATAATCAATCTTCATATTTTTTAAAGGTCATGAAAGAATGCTTACATGAAAATCAATCTCCTATTCTGATACAGCATGTTTCTCTAGTTTCACTTTTTGAACAGGTTGTTGGCACATGAAAAATCAAAATAAATAAAAAAGTTTTTTGTTTTTTTTCAAAATGTATTTTATATTAAACTACCACTAGAATAGCATTCCCTCTCCAAAAAAAAAGAAAAAGAAACAAAAAATGGATAAAGGAATACCGACTATAAAATATTTAAATATCTTACACACATGAGACAGCTTGATTAAAATGCAACAAATTTAACAATGACATTTTTTTTATAATGTTTTTGTCTATTTAAATTTATAAAGAGGTGATGGTCACAGTATTTAACATAAAACTGATAAAACTGTATAAAATCTTGACCCATGTTGCATAAATGGGAACATAAATTTTGAAAAAAATGAATCACACACAGGCCAATCTATGGTTTACAAATGTGCCAAACCCCACAAATGTAAAATAAATGACATAAATCCAGAAGGTGGAAAGAAATATGCACAATTTGAGGTAATCCATTATTTATCCAATATTATAATCAGTCTGGGGTAATGTTGGACCTTAATTAAAGCAGGTATTCCTACATGTGTTGTGCACTGCATGTTTGAAACAGAATGACTCAAGTCCTGCGTTTTATTGTTTACATAGAAAACTTTCTTTATCATCAAAAATACACCACACTGTGCGTCTCTATGATGAACATAAAATATCAACCTCCTTTTTTTGTCTGAAATGGTATTAGAGCTCCCATTCATAAGTTCTGCCAAAACTCCCAGAATATATCAGAATAAAAAAAAAAAAAAACAGCATATATTAATGTTATTTTTTTAAAAGGACAGTATGTGAATATGTCCTTGTCCTGCTTTTGCGCAATTTATTAAGACTGTTTTCAAATGAATCGGTGTTTGTTTTGCCACACAAAATGCAGAAGTTATTGCTAGGTCAGAGAAAATATATGTTTTGATTTATTTACCCTGTTTATTTTATAATAATTTTAGTCAGTGTAGATACTGAAATTGTATTATGTTTCTTTGCTTGGTGATCAAATTATGTAATTCCACCTGTTTATTTTTTTACTGCAAAGACTTTCTCTTAAAGTTAAAAGTGTAGTTTGAAGGTACCTTTTAACAAATTTCATGTGTTCAAAAGGATATGATGTTGATGTGGTTTGTACTTTATTTAGTGAGATTGAATTTCTGATAAATTAAATTAAATATTAAAGAAATATTATTTTTTTAGTACAATTTTGACTCACTAAAAATAAGATTGTAGGAATTCTTGCATAGACCTGCAGATACAATATTTCAGCTTGTAACCTTAACAACTTTAAGACAGAAACTAACTAAATTTATGATTTTCAGTAAACTATGTGACTGAAACAAGGCATGCACATAGATATACTGAATTTAAACTTCATCACGCACAAATGACAGTTGGATGTTTTTGTTTTGCCAAATTATTTTGTGAAGAATTTTGAATAATAAAAAAAAATAAACAATAGCACCAATTAAATTCTCTACAATCTGAAGCAGATTTGTGTGTGTGTTTAGTCATTTTTGATACTTAAAAAGGAATACTGTCTTGAACGCTCAATGTCAAATGTGTTTGAAGGTAAAAGATTTCATGTTAGTGGAATATGCTGTAAATCTGCTGTTGTTATGTTCCTCCGGTGTGATTTTAAAGAAGCATGGCAGTGGCATGACCATAATAGAAATTTTACCGTTGAGCAGAAACAGTACTTACTTGTTAGAAGTAAACCTAGGACCATCTGCCAAATGTCTGCCTAACCACTGCATTTATGATGCTTGGCACCATTTTTCACAGTGGGAACTCTGAAATGATTTCCAAGATATGGACGCCTGCAGAGCTTAGTCCATCTAAAACCCACGGGCGCATCAATTAAAATGTAAATTGTGTTGTCGCTAAAGGAGAGTGTGAGAGACAGGTGCAACTCAAACATCTGCTTGATCTCTGATCCCACACGTTCTGCCTGAGTGTAAAGCCTCTTGTAGCATAAGCCTTGCCACTCAGGGCCAAGTCCTATGGCTGGAAGGGCAGGGAGTGAATCTGAGGCTGCCAAACATCCCCATCTGCAAAATGTGGCACACGTGTGACAAGCAATGTGCTCAGACAGATGTATAAAGGGTTTAAGCATTTGTTTATTTTTTATATATTTTTTAGCTCATCACTCCTATTTTGACAGCACTCCTGCAGTAATACGAAAAAAAAAGTAACAAATCCCAGCATGAAAAAGTTGGCATCTAAGCAATCAACCTAATTTGCAACATTACACAGCACCACACGGTACAGTAAATGTGAGTTCAGAAGACTTTGGAGCAAATTCAAGGAAACTACTTTTGCCAGAATAAAAAAATAAATAAAACATCCATCAACACAGCCATAAATCTTACCTAGTCCAATTACATCAATGCTTTTAAAGTATATACTGATGCTGTTTATATTTTCAGATCTCCAGTAGTAGGCAAATTATTGTTTTGTTTATTTTCATAACAAAATGATGAGTCCTCTGAGAAACCAAGGACTATCATCAGGATGATCTTGAAATTTGAAATTAATTTATATTTTGCTTTGGCAATAGGCATACAATACAGGTCAATAAAATGTATTTTATCTAAAAAATCTTGTAAGGACAGTCCATTTCAGCAACAGTCAAAAGCAGGACGTATTTCAATTTTTTATTTTTATTTTTTCCCAAATCCTTGGCCTATTAAAGACAGAGTGAGTGCCTAATGTATGTGACAGTTATAATTATTCAGCAGATTATGGTTAAATTTTATCACTGACACTTTCGTACTGTTAGGTGTTTAATTCAATCACAATTCCAATCATTTCATCCACAGCTGGGGGAAAAAAATATATATATACTGTATATGTTACAGTGAGTGAAGTTAGGTTACTTTTCCTGATTCAAGTTCAGCCATTAAACTTAAAGAAAAACTACAGGAAAAAAAGGATAATTTGCATTCTTTCCTAGATGTCTTCTAGAAGAACTCAAAAGCATGTTTGTTAAACAATCCTGTGACATGAGAAAAATAAAATAAAATGTGAATAGATTGATAAAAATAATTGCATTTTTTCTTGATCAAACCACATTTTTTCTTAAATAAATAACTTTTGTTTTGTAAAGACACTTTTTGAAACAGTAGACATATTCTAATTTTCAAAGTTTTTGAGATAACATCATCAGTCTGTGATTTGCAAATTGCAAGTCTTTTCCTCCATGTTTGAGCTACAGTTCTCATGAGTCAGTACTGTCCTCTCAGTAATGCCTCTATGTAATGCCAACAGTTTTACGATGTCTCAAAAAGGTTTCAGATTTGGGTCTCTTGTACATTGTCTTTTGAGGTTGCCCGAATTAACAAAGGTTCGTGCGCTGAGCTGTGTATGGAATTGATAGTAGAGGCATGGTTGTAAGCACTCTTATAGGTGTTATAATGGTTGAGGTGCTCATGCTCAAGAGGTGGCAGAGTCAGGTGACCCTCCATTCCTGGGCCTCCAGCGACACAGTCCTCGTCCACATTGATGATCTCAATAGTGCGTGTGGGTGCATGGTGGTTCTGCTGGTGGTGTTGCTTGCGCATCTTGTAGAAGATTATCAGCATGACAGCTGCCATAAGTGTGATTGCAACAAAGCAGCCAATGATGATCTTGGTTGTCTTCATTACCTCATCCAAGCCATTTAGTGAGCCCTCAGTGACAGGGATTGTGTAGGTCTTCTCGGTGGCTCGGGTGGAAATTGGGGTTCTAAATGTAGTGGTTGTAGTAGAGGTGGGTGCAAGAGTTTCCCATGTACCAGCAGAGGGTGTGGGTCCCGCCTTCTGTTGAACAGCGGTGGTGAAGCCTTCATTATGTGGTGTTTCTATTGTCTCCACTGTCACTGTGGTAAAGTAGCTGAAACTGCTGTTCTCTGTTGAAGACACATTGAGTGTGGCAGATGCTGTTGTGTTACCTGCAGAATTACTGACCATGCATGTATATGTGCCCATGTCCTGCATGGTAACATTGGTGAAGTTCAATGTACCATCATTTAGCACAGAGATTCTGACCTTGTATGCACCATGTGTCATGATGGAACCATTAGGTGTAATCCAGCTTACTGAGGTCAAGGAGCTGGCTCTGCATTTCAACTCTGCAGCACTTCCCTCTGTCACATTTAGGTCAGCAGGAGGCTCCACAATAACAGGAGCATAACAATGAAAGTAATTCTGGTCTAGCTCACCAATGTACCGTCCTTTATAGTGTGAAGGTGAGCTGCAGCGGGCACAGCAGCTGGTGTTTGCTGGTACCATCTCCTTTAGCCACCAGCTGAGCCAGAGGATGTCACAGTTGCAATTCCATGGATTGTGATGCAAGTGCACCCTCTCCAGGTGATGTAAAGGAGTGAAAAGATCATGGGGCAAAAGGGTAAGGTTGTTGTGGGCTAAATTGAGCTCCACAAGGGATTGCAGGTCATCAAATGAGTTCCGTTCAATGGTCTGGATTTGAGCATGCATCATCCATAATTTTTGTAAGTGGATAAGCCCTTTAAATGAACCAGGTCGAATAGTAGACAACTGGTTTCCAGACATCTCAAGTTCATCAAGCTTTACCAGAGGAGTCAGATTGGGAATTTCCTTTAGATTGCACATTCCCAAATTTAAGTATCGTAGATTGCTGAGTCCTTCAAAGGCTCCTTCTGAAATGTAGGAGAGTCGTTTGAGCTCCCCAAGGTCCAATCTTCGTAATGAGGGAACTCTGTTGAAAGCATAAGATGGAATGCTCTCTACTGGGTTATTCCTAAGCCAAAGTTCTTTTAGTTTGGAAAGGTATTCAAATGCACCATTTGGGATGGTGGTGAGTCGATTATCAAAAAGCTCCAAAGTATTGAGACTGGCCAGTCCATTGAAGGCCCCAAGTTCAATTTTCCGTATATGATTTTTGCTCAGTTGCAGAATCTCCAAATGTCTTAGGTGCTTGAAGCTGTCCACCTTAATAACCTGAATAAGATTTTCTTGCAAATTCAGGTAGCGTGTGTTGGTAGAGATGCCATCAGGTACTTCGCGCAAGCCTCTGCGGGTGCAGATGACTTTACTGAACTGGTTGCTACAGGAGCAAACCGATGGACACGTCTGAGCACGCACCAGTCCTGCCACCACCAGCAGCTGCAAGGCAAGGAGCAATACAAAGAAGGGGTCGGACAAGGCCCGGTTCCACCTAGGACCTCGCATCATCTGCTGCTGCTGAGAGGAGGTCATCTTGTTGAACATTCATAATTCATTGACGTGTCTTTCACTCTTTAAAGAGGATTTGGGCCCACTGCAAAAAACAAATGATAGAAAAGAGAGGGGGAAAAAGTCATTAAAAACAGTAGATTATCAAAGTTTAATGCTTATTTGAGATTACCATGAGTAGTTATAGTAGCAGACAAAATTAAAATTTCTCAAAGTTCACCAGATTTAAGGATTTTATTTTCATATTATTCTGTAGACATAAAAGTCTTTTTTTCCAAACAAAATGAAAGAAGGTATATATATATATATATATATATATATATATATATATATATATATATAAAACACACATATACCCTCCCACAAATTTGTAGCAATGATGGAGTGGCTAAGTTTACTGCCCTTGCACTCTCAATCCCAGTCATATAAACAATTTCACAAGAAAGCTTCTGGTATTTGTGTTGCATCTCTGCGGGAGAAGGAAAGAAGGGAGGAAAAGCAGTCTTACCAGCTGTGCAGTGTGATTTATATTTGAGAGTAGTGGGGTATAAATTATGTGGAACTCTGCCATGCAGTAGTTTCTCAATCAAGTCAAAATTTCTAGAAGCATCTGATTACAAGACATACTGTTCTGTAGGTCGTCACAAAAGTCTATGTGGCAGGAATACCAAAATTGAAATTCATTGTGTGATTGAAAAACTGTTTATGATATATGCAATATATATATATTTTTAAATCAAGTTAAAATTGTATACTTGGGGTTTGCCACATGAACAATGTTAGAAGTTAATAAAGCATGATTTCAACATGAATGTTTGACTGATTCACATAATTAATTGATCTATAAATCCATTAAATTTATTCAGCCAATTCTATTGTTATTTATCACAGTCATTGTTTCATTGTAAATGCAAGTTAAAAAACAAAACAAAACAAAAAAAACCCATATATTTAAATAAATAGCAAGAGCAGCAAGAAAAAATAAGCCAATTATAAATAAATAAATGATAAACTAGGCAGGGGATTTTTGGTTAAAGCCTTACAGTTTAACTTCACTGTTAAAGTTAACTGTTGAAGTTAACTTAACTGTTGAAGTAAGGGGTGTGGGTGTGTGTGTGGGTGATAATCAGCTTTGATAGTAGTTTAAATTCAACCTCTATAATCAGACATATTGTATTTTAATTTGACTGGATTAAGGGTTCATACTTTGTGCTGTACCTTTTTGTTGTTAAAGTAATTACTCTCATTTATTTATTTGAGGAGCTTTAGATCAGTGGTCTGATCACTGGTTTAAATAAATGTGAGTGTGGAAATTCTTCACAATTACCTAGTAAATTGTATTCATTTTAAAAATTGTATTTGGTGGTTTACAGGCTCTATTGCCTGATGTACGAATGGAATGGTGAGAAGTGAATCACATTGCCAACACATATAAAAGAAGAAAAAATGAGAGGGTCTAAGCTACATGACCGGAATGAACTTATGAGTGGGAGAAAACTGGAGCAAGAATAAAAAATACAAACAGTGTGACCATGAGGAGAAAAAAGTATTGCACTACAAAGCAGATGTTACAACAGAACAGAACTTCTGTTGTCAGATGTTAAAACATACGGTATAATGTCAGGGAGAAATGCTGGTCTAATGCAGTACGGTGGAAATTTGTTGGGAAAAAAATAAATAAAACAAACCTTAATGAAATGAGGTCATCACAAACCAGTATTTCTATCTATCTATCTATCTATCTATCTATCTATCTATCTATCTATCT